TTTGGGCCACAATCTCCCACGTTTGGGCCACAATCTCCCACGTTTGGGCCACAGTCTCCCACGTTTGGCTCAAAATCTCCCACGTTTGGGTCACAATCCCCCCAGTCCCAGTCAGTAAAATCAACTTGCAAGAGTCCCTGTTTATCTCTGCAGATGGAAGTGGCCCATCAGGAAAGGCCCTGGGGTGTTGGTGACAGCTGGCTGCACATGAGCCCAGGTTTTTGGTGTTTTTTTTTTCCACAATGTGGTAACAACTGCTCAGAACAGACTTTTAACTGTGGCCTTTGCCACACTTGCACAATCTGCACCAGTTGCCATCGACTGTGTTGACACAGCTGTGACCCTGAGGGAAAGTGAACTGTAAAATCCCTGAACTCTGGAGTTTCATCCTTCCTCAGGACTTTGTTACATCAGCTCCCCGTTTCTTTAAATGAATTTAACAATCATTTATTTGCTATATAATGCCTCTTTAAATGATCAATTTAATTTTTACTTTAACTTTGGAGGTTAATCTGAATTTTATAGCTCATCCCAGGCCAAATTCAAATCCCACTTAATACCAGTAAAGATTTTTTTCAACATACATGACTAGAAATTAGGTCTGAAAGACTCCAACCCTATTTCTAAATTTCCTATTCATTATTGTTACTTCTAGTTAATGGATTTCCCTAATCTGGGTACAAGCAGAGTCTTTCTAAGCATTGTGGGGATGAGCCTCTTTCCTGCCTGCAAAATAAATCCAAGTTTTTAGCCTTTTCAGAGGAATATCTCCTGGTGGCCTCTGCTGAGATGGGGTGGGAGGGAAAAATCCAAGTTTCAGCTTAAATCATTAACCTGAATTTTCCTTAACAGCCATAACCAGCATTAGGCAAAGTGAGTGTTCCCAGGGACAGAACGGGAACGAGGCAGATTCGTTCCGGAAAACATTTACTATGGAATTTTCAATACATATTCCTAAAGGTGCATGAGCCTAAGAGGGCAGGCTTAGATGGGACACTGGGAAGAATAAGGGTGGGGAGGCCCTGGAATGCATTTCCCAGAGGATGACCCATCCCTGGAAGTGTCCAAGGCCAGGTTGGAGCAACCTGGTCTAGTGGAAGGTGTCCCTGCCCATGGCAGGGGGGGGAATGGGATGGTCTTAAGGTCCCTCCCAACCCAACCCAACCCATTCCACGGTTCCCTAAAACCAACCAGCTCAACTGCTGGAATTCCTCCCGCAGGAACCCGTGCTTCTGGCGCGCCGTCCTGGGCCTGCACAACCTGCACCGGCACGGCCCCCACACGGCCAAGAGGAGGATCAGGAGGATCCTGGTGCACTCGGAGTTCAAGAGCGAGACCTTTGAGAACGACGTGGCCGTGTTCGAGCTGAGCTCGGCCGTGCAGAGCAGCCTCCACATCCAGCCCATCTGCCTCCCGCCCGCGCCGCTGCAGCCCCAGCTGGAGAACGGCTCCGACTGCTACGTCAGCGGCTGGGGCCGCACCGCGGAGAAGGGTAACGGGCCCTGCCTTCCCTGCCTGCCATTCCCAGCCTTCCCAGGGGAATGGACTCCCACTGAAACGGGGGGATACTAGCAAGGATATTAGGAATGCCTCCCTGCGTGGGGAGACCCTGGAATGCATTTCCCAGAGGATGCCGCCCCATCCTTGCAAGTGCCCCCAGGTTGGACGGGGCTTGGAGCAACCTGGGCTGGTGGAAGATATCCCTGCCCATGGCAGAGGGTGGAATTTGTTGTCTTTGAGGTCCCTCCCAGCCCAAACCATCCATGATTCCAACTGGATTTGCTCAGGTTATGATCCTCTCACACAACTTCATTAAACTCTCTGCTGTGAGAATCTGCTTCCAGGGGGTTTTTCCATCACGACCAGGTTAGAGCCACACAGCTGCAACCACAGGAATACATTTCCCAGCCTGTCTTCCAAGGAAAACATGGGAAAAAAAAAAAACTCACCTGACTTTCAGATTTGTGGTGCAGCTCAACGTGGTCTGCTGGAAACAGCTTTTCTATCAAAAAGCAACAATTCTGACGCTGCATGTTGTGAACTGGGGGGTCCCCAGGGATTGATGAATGGGGTTCTCAGGGATTTAGGAATGACCACAGTCCTTCCAGCTCTCTCTTTAATCCTACTGGGCACAAACTCGATGCCAGTTGGTGTGTGGGTATTTTGGGATCACACGAGCCCATTAGATAAGTCACCTCTGACACTTGGAGCGAGGCAGGTGCATTACCACTGATGCTTCTTCTGAGGAAGAACTGCAAAATGCACCTCAAACCCAAGCCTGCAAACCCTTAAACCCACTCCAGTTCCAATCCATCAGGAGCAGGCAGGATCCATGTCTGAACATGTCCAGGAACACGCCTCAGCTGGCGACAGGGGGGAAAAAAGCACAGCAAAAACCACTCCCCACACCCCCCAGCATGTTTTACCTTGCTGAACTCTGCCTCCATTGCAGGTAAAATCTCCCCTGTGCTGAAGGAAGCCCGGGTGGAAATCCTCCCTCCCAGCCTGTGCAACAGCTCCGAGGGCTACGCGGGGCTCATGGACCACAGGGTGCTCTGTGCTGGTGCCTGGGCCGGGGGCACTGACACCTGCCAGGTGAGAGGGGGGTGGCTCGGGGGCACTGAGTAATTAAAACAGTAGAAATACCAACTAGAAAACAGGCCAAGGGCAAAGGAAGAGTCAGAAAGAGGAGCGGGATGGTGATGGTGAGGCA